AGTAAGACACATGTGGGAGACATTTATCTCAAGACTTACACATTTCTTACACATTGTCTTTACCACAATAAAATGGATAGACGAGAAAGGAACTGAAGGACGTTGTCTGTTACGTGGTAATGATTACGGCTGCAAATACTTCAGCACCTTTGTTTGCTCTTCTGCTGTGAAATTCTCACCATCCCCCTTTCCGCTAGTTTTAACATCCGAGGTTTACAGTGGGGTGGAGGCAGGGACAGCGTGGTCTCGCCTAGAGGAAAGAGCATGGGTTTTCAAGAAATACAGACCTAGGTTTCGGTTCTGACTTGATCACTTACTAACCCTGTGGTCTTGAGTAAGCCCCAAATATTCCCTGAGCCTCCTACTCTGCATCTATGAAACACGGACACTCATATCTGCCAGACAGTTTAGTTGGGAGAATCAGGTGAGAGGATGCATGCAGGGGGCCTAGCACCCTGCCTGGCACATGGTGGGGGTTGAAGCACTGCTAGCTGCTTTCCTCTCCTACAGTCAGAGGCAGGCATGTGGGGCTTTGGAAGACATCCAGTTTACCAGACAAGCTGCACTAGCCAGACAAGACCCTAGAAACCTGAAGCCCGAAGTTCACCTGAGGGGGTGGGGCAAAGACCACGTTATCTGATCACCAGGCCGCCTCCCTGGATCAAATGAACTGGGCCATCGCCATGGCCCCAGCTCACTCTTCAGACACAGCCAAAGAGGGGTAGGAAAAGAACACACAACTCTGAGTGGTCGCTTTTGGTACTTGTCAACAGCTCTGGCTGGAGTAAGTGAAGACAATAAACTAAGAAAAGATCTAGTGAGTTCTGCTGCCTGTTCTCTATTTCAAGGGGACAGTCCCTGCTTTGTTTCTCTTCTCTTGAGTGAAAGACTGTTCCCTGAAATGCTCCTGGCTTCCGAGAACAGCTCTGGAGGCCACTCCATAAAGTGCTGGCCAGGGGTTGATCAGAAGCAAGCAAGCAGAATTCACCCTGCCCCCAGGATCATGCGGTCTTGGGGATGCCAGAGGGAGAAACGGGAACTTCAACGCTCCTCTTCCTTCCTCCTTCATCTCCCAATGTCCCTATTCATTCTTCTCTAGGCCAACCCTGACCTCCTTCTCATCTCCCTCTCTCCAGTGAAGAGGAGAGAGGGGGGAGGTGGTACGAGGGTGCTGTCTGCTTCCCAGAAGTAATGAGAGAAGGCGTAAGAGCCTTTCCAGAAGGAGTCGAGCCCTCCCTCAGGCTGGACTCTGCTGGGTTTTATCTGTTCTCCGCTGGAAGCTCTGCACCAGCTCCTGCTGCTACTCTGCTGAGCCCCGGGTTGAAAACCTCTGCCTGTGCAGGTGTGTGCCATGCCCTGAACGTGGATTTCAAATACGGCTATAATGCGCTGTGCAGCTGTAATCACTCTATCTTATCAAGTGACATCCTCTCAGGCTTATGCAGAAGAAAACTCTCAGTTAGCCGAGACCCAGTTTATCAGAATCCTAACTGGGTGTTCTTTGCTCTCTATTTTCAAGAGAAAGAGCCAGACCTGTGTACTGTCTCTGACATTTGGTATCAGCTCCATTCTCCTTCCAGCCCCTGTCGCTTTTCCTGTATGTCCTGGAGAATCCTACCTTCAGCTCCAAATCTATTTCCATATAATCAGATTTTTACCGTTTCAGCAGAAAAGAATCTTAAGCTTCAAAGAAAGATTGCCTTCTAGATTGACTTGCTATGGAAGGGAAGTAGATCAGAGCGTCTTAGACAGATCTCAACAAGGCTTTCTGTTTTGGTTCCTACTGACACCAGTAGGCCTGGGCTCTTAGCTTCACACAGTGACCACGTGCCACGTGCTGGGTGCTACAGGAAGCAAGCCATATGACACAAATAAACTGATGCCAATACTGACCTTCCTAAGTGCTAGGAGCTATTCTAAGTGCTTTTTACATGTTTATATATTTAACCTTACAACCAACATGTGAGGTACACACGATTTCCATCCCAACTTTGGAGATGAGGCACTTGGGACGCGGAGAGGTAAGTAACTTGTCCCCAGGTCACACAGGGTGGAGCTGGGCTTGGAAAGAGGCAGTCTGGCTCCAGAGTCCTCACTCTTAACCACCACACATACAGCTTTCCTCATTTGGTCCTCACAGCAATCTTATGAGATAGAATACTAAAATGTCCACTTTCCGGATAAGAAAACTGAGTCTCAGGGGCTGGCCCCGTGGCCAAGTGGTTAACTTCAGCGTGCTCTGCTTTGGTGGCCCGGGTTTGGTTCCCGGGCACGGACCTACACCACTCAATGGCGGCCACGCTGTGGTGGTGACCCACATATAAAATAGAGGAAGGTTGGCACAGATGTTAGCTCAGGGCAAATCTTCCTCAGCAAAAAGAAAAAAAACTGAGTCTCAAAAAAGTAACTCATCTAAGGGATTGACCTGGAAGTCCCAATTTCATACACTAATTGAATTCCTACTTTGTTCCAGGCACTAGGCTAGGCACCAAGAGCATTAGACGGTGTGATAAGCTAGTCACATTTTGTCATTTGTGTGCTCGTGTGAAAGAAAGTCGAGTGTAGTCAAGATTAGCCAGGACATCAGCACTGTGCACAGGCCTGAGCACTGGAAGATACTTGGACAAGCCTGAACAAAGCCACATATGAGCCTCCATCCCTTTCTAGTGCTTTCCGATTCAGTCCTGGGCAGACATTCCTTTGTATTTGTTCATTTCATACATTTACTGAGCATCTGCTACGTTCTAGGTCATATGCTATAAACTGGGGATATAAAAAAAGAAGATTAGTACTTGAACTTGGGACACTCTTAGTTTAGAAGGGGAGAAAATTAAATACAGCATAATATGACAATTGCAATAATTGATATTTTGAGATAATAATTAAGATAATAATTGAGAGTAATTTTGGATGAGTTGCAGGGAGCACATCCAGAAGGTGGCATATGTGCTGAGTCTTGAAGGATAAAAAAATGCACTTTCCAGATGGGAATGGGTAAAGGAACTAGTGTTTATTAAGCATATACTATGTAGCAGGCCCTGGATGCAGACTATCTTTAGTTTAATTCTGACTCCAGAATCCAAGAATCAGTAAGGATAAAGAACTTGTTCACAATGGCAATGTAAGAAAATCCCTGAGCTTCAGCTCACATGTTCACACATGTCAATGATATTTTCGGGAAAGGGCAGCCCAGGCAGAGGGAACAGCATGCACAAAGGCTAGAAGGCAAGAAGAGCCTGGCATATGTGAGGGACAGGATGTTCAACGCACATCAGCCATCAGCTGTGCGTGAGGACAGGGGTTAAAGGGAGAGATGGGGACAAAGAAGGAGTTACGAGCAAAATCCTGAAGGACTTCACATACCTGCTAAGAAATGGGGGTTTTATCCTGAAGGCAAAGGATAGCAAACTACGAAAATGACATGACCAGAACCGGGTTTTAGAAGAATAATTCTAGTACCAGAATGGAGGGTGGATGGGAGTAGGGGAAGACTCAGGACAATAAACCAAGTTGGAGGGCCACCACGATGGGTTAGGCATAGGAGGATGAAGCACTGAACTGAAGAGCGGGTGGGGAAAGACTAGAGAAAAGACTACAAGAAGGGGACTGTGGAAGGGGAAGAGAGAGAGAAAAGGGGAGACAGTGAAGTGCTACTCAAAGCCAGGAACACGAGATGAGGGGCAATGGTGGAGGGCGGGTGGAGCTGGGCCTCCAGATGAACCCAAGGGGTTACCAAAGGTGGCCAGATAGATGTCTGGCATTCACACACATAGTTACGATAAGGAGGTGAGGGTGTGCAGGGAGTGAAGGCACAGGGGTTGGGAGGGAGATGAGTGCTAACACCAACATGGGGATTCTGACAACCAGCTCTGCGGAAAGCTGTCTGCTCAAGATGGCTGCTTAACCATGAGCCTGGGAGGCAGAAGAGTCCAGGTGTGAGGTGAATCTTTGGCTCTGACTCCTGGGGCTGGCCAGGTAAATAGAGCTGTCAGAGAGACAGATGTTTCCTGAAGGGATCTCTCTGACACACCTGGGATCTGCATGCCCAGGCCTGCAGCGGGCAGCAGCTGGGGTTTGGGAGGACGCAGGCACGTGGGCAGCCTCCTGCCTCCTGCGGGAGCTCTGCAGACAGGCAGCTGAGAGAAGCGAATCTTTCTTCCCAGCCTCCTCCTCCACCCTTCGCTTCGGAGCCCTGGTGCCACAGCACCGTGCAGGCTGAAGAAAGGGTGATTCATAAATGAGGGGCTGCAGCTACAAGGCACACAGGGGTGGCAGAAAGGACAAAATTGTGTGTACGTGCATGTGTGCGTGTGTGTTTGGAAGATACTGTTTATTCAGGGAACTATATATCAAACACAGACTTACTGGCAGACAATAGAGATTTGCCTAGACAATTTATGCCACCAAATAAACATCAAGATGGGCCATGTAGAGCTAAAGGTGAGACACATTTTTAAAAGTGGGGTGTCTCCCTTCTTGGTCTCAATTACAGGAGATGATTTTGCACACAAAACATTGAGGCAACAATATCTGGGCATCTACTTGAGCCTACTGTAACCAAAGAGAGAGAAAGGCCGGAACTTAAATGCAAAAGAAAGAAAGAAACAGTGTTTGCAGATAGGTCTGCTACAGTATAAACTTTTTCCTTTCTCTGGCTTACTGCAGAGAAAAACCTGATGGTTGTCTTTGTAAAAAACGTGTCTGTATCTAGGTCCCTGGCAGTGATTTGCCTCTGGGAGGGCCAGCAATCTATTTAATGACTCCATTGACGTCAATAGCATAACTGAAATACTTACTAACATGCATGATTCCAACTTTCGGGGGGGGGGGGTGTGGATGGTGTTTCTCAGCAGTACAAAAACACGAAGTGGAGTTAGTGCGGAACGAACTCAACTCTTCAGGCAGCAAGAGAAAGAGGAGATGCTGCAGGTCTCATCGGTTCCGTTTAATACGAAGAAACATTCACACTAAATTTAGAAATTAATTTTGAACTAGTGAAATAGCTATTAATGAGCAGGACTTTATTTTTGGCAACGTTTGCTCAAGTGTAACATTTTGACTATTCGCACTTCAGTCAACTTGCCAATGTTTTTGACTTAATTGTAAACATATATGAAATAATTGCAAATCAATATAAATAGCTCAATGTTGATGCTATGGGGTAAACTTTCACAAAAGGGCTGTTTTAGACAAAAGCAATTCTTACAAAACAACCATTTGGGGAATTATTCTCAGAATTACTGGGGCTTTTCTAGTGCATTTGCCCTATGGTTTTGTGTGCAGGCTGCCTGAACACTCAAGGTGAGAAATTAAGACAATTATCCCGCAAATCAGGCCACAGAACATTCAGAACACTGAAGAAAAAGTAATTTGGTATTTCTGGTTTTTTCTCTTTTTCCTTCCCTCCAATCTCTCCTTTATGGTGAGTGGCCACAGCCTTTGGTAACAGGATTGATTTTATTCGTATTTGTCCATAAGTGTCGTAATCCTGCCTGACAGTTCTTGCTTAATGTAGAAACCCAGCAAACGTCCTGCTTCTGCGGGGCTTCGTTTCCAGTCATCTGACACAGACCGGCTCTCAGAGAGCCCTCTACTTGCGCACGCCCAGTCTGTCTTTCATCCTAGGCCCTGGCAGCTATGGCAAAGAATGAGAACCAAATCAATGCCATGAGTTTCTGAATTTCTTAGGCTCCAAGATAACTCACTAAGCCCTGTGTGCACTCCTCGAATAGCCCCTGCCTATGGCACAACCACACGAACCTCCAGGGGGATATCCATAATCAAGCAAAGATATGGGAGAAACTCATACTGAGCAATAGGCTTCTTAGGAAAAAACCTCTTCTTCTGTGTCATCCAACAGTAAAGAGTCATTCCCTCCCCAGAATGGCCTGGACACATATTAGAAGAAATGGATTCCCACGAGCACTGAAGAATATTAATTAAGTCTGTTTCTGACTTAGGTCAACCTCTTTCACACTTGCCGGAAAGCCCTATATTACCTCATCCTATTTCTCCGTCCACAGGCTTTTCTTGAAATACATCTAAGTGACTGATGTTGAAAATCACCATAAACCAAGGCTGCAGATACCCAGGGCGGGAGAGGCTTTGGGTCTGCAGCAATTTGGCCTGAAGTCCTAAGGCAATTCTCTAGTCACCTTTGTGACATGTTTGCTGTCATTTCTGATGACCCATGGACTTGGGGGGTGTTCTTTATAACATCTGATCTGTTACACTTATGATGCTCCTGCTCAATATGTTTGCTGGTAAATTGTGAAACAAGAAAATTTGTATAGAACATCCCATCTTACACATCGATTTGGATGCTAAAATGCTGTATGTATATATGATACCTATTATTATAAGTCAAGTCACATTTATATGAGTCAGAGGTTCTGGCTATTGAAAGCAATACTTCTCTAATCCTTTTGTGAAGCAAAGAATCACTTTGTAAAGGCAGTGAGCACTTGAATAATTTATCCTTTCAGTAAATTCTTACTTTCATGACATACCTGTAATCACTACTGAAATGCATGCAAAAGCAAGGGATAGGATGGGTACAAAAAGTAGGACAATTATCCTACACACACACATACACACCACACACACACTCACACATTCACAAATGTACACATATACACACATTGATTTTCCTCAATTATCTGATTTTTTTCTGTTGAAATAGTTTTGAGGCCTGAAATCCTGAGAATTACTTCAATTTTCCCATCTGAATGTGCACAGATGATAGAACCCAAGTTTCTGGCTTGTTTTTGAGTGTTCTTTCTTCTATTCTATTTTTTTCCTTTTCTGTTCCAATCCTTATGCATCGTGCAGAGAAAGCCTGGAATTTATGCTTGTGAAAAGGCAAAATGTGCTAAAAATTGAGATGCTCATTAAACTCCACAGCATTTGCATTTTTAACTCCCCAGGAGGAGTCGCTGCATCTTTCTCCTTAATGTGGGGGCACATGATTTCCACACTGCTATACTTTCTGGGTTTTAAATTCTCCATTACTTTACTCTGGCTCTCCTGTTCAAAGTGCAAAATGTCAACTTTTTAGATTTAACTCTTTGTGTTCAAAACCCATATATCCACACCAATTATAGAGTATGTTTCAAACATCTTTTAATTTCAATGCAATAACTGGTGCTTTTTTAAAAGTAAAAAAACACAACTGCACAATTTTCATAGCCATAGAGATAAAAATATTGACTCATTATTAAAATTTATTTATGAGCATTTTCCTTAAGATAAAGTCTCCAAACTCTGTGTAGTTCTCCTGGTCAATTCAACACTTACTGTCTTCCTACTATGTGAAAATAGCTCTGCCAAAGCATCCTGAGTGATAGAGAGGTGAGTAGGGTTCAGGCCCTGCCTTCCGAGCTCCAGTGCAGGAGACACATAAGCCTCAGTCTACCCTGGAATGGAATTGTTGCCATAGCACAAAAAAAGGAGCAATTACACTGTGTTTTTAAAAAGTTAGAATGTCTTTGCAGAAGAGGGAAATTTGTGTTGTACCACGAGAGCTGAAAAGAATAAGCTTGGTTAAACAGTGAGAAGAAAGGTACCATAGACCGAAAGATGTGCTTTGATTTCCCTCGTGAATTATTTCAGTTAATGATCAATTTGTAAGAGCAAATGTAGCAATTTAACCATGGTTTCTGACAACTAGCTTTTAAAATGAATTGCATTTCCTTCATTTGGATGCATTAAAAAAAGGCTTTTAAAAAGATTTGGCTTTTCTCTGTGTCTCTCCGTCTGTGTCTCTGTCTCTCTCTGTCTCTGTCTCTCAAACTCGCTTTTATACAAGAATATAGTTACCTAAGTCAGTCAGGCTTTCCTAACAAACTGGATTGTTGCTAAACGTTTAAATTATTGTGGGTTCTCGTATCTTTTAGTTTAGATTTCAATTGAAATGCATGGGTTCAACTTCAGTGCTAATAAATGAAAACCTGATCTTAGTATCACAAAAAATCATCTTGTAAAGCAGCACTCCAGCTTTCAATTCTGTTTGCTCTGAGCCACTTATTTTTCATTCCCCTTTAAAGTTTCTATTTAAATACACCTCTTTGTCATATGCTGATAAATATTAAAATAACAGGAAAAATCTGCCTGACTTATTCAAGCTGATAATAAGAACAAAACACAGGATGTGTGTGTCCTCCTTCCTTTTCTGACTGTGGTTAAGCGTTAAGAAGATTTTGAAACCTGTAATTACGTAATAATTGGTATCACTACATTCTCTTCCCAGTGAAAAGCCAGGATTTTTGTAGTTTGCCACAAAGACAGACAAAAACAAATTGCCTAAGTGGTATTGTCATTTCTTTGCTCCATTGTTTTAAAAAGAATTTAGCAAAAGATTCTCTAGTGTGCAGGCTGTGGTTACTGTGCCAATAATGATCTTTTCAACAGCATCTTTGGCTAATGAGCTAATTTATAGAACCATAAATATCACATATTCTCCTAATGTTTGTCAGTATTTATTACAAGAAAAAGAAAACATAGTTTAAATATTCAAATTGATGTCAAAAAGCATCTCAGAACATTTGGCTAACAAATCTGAGCAACGATGTCTCACTGGGGGGCCAATATGACAAAATGATAGGAGTTTCAAAACCACCTCCTTTGATCTCCAAGTATGTGACACCAGTTATATGTTAAAACACTCATTTAGTTTCTGTTGATAAAACTTCTAAAGGAATAGTACATCAGCACACCAGGTTTTTGAAGTCCACAGATAGAGTACTGTTTTCTTCTCTCTGTTTCATATCATGGGGCTCTCGAGGTAAACTCGCCTTTACTTAATATCTTCCTTTCACTTTTATTCTTGTTCTCAATCTTTTTCTCATAAAAAATATTTTTAAAAGCATGTACCATAAATACTTCAGAAGCCAATGAGCCAATGGAACCGACTGCCTTTGTTCCTTTCTTTTAAAAGTTGGGCTTTTGTATTATTTCCGTTATAGGTTCTTATGGCCGTGATACCAGCAAGAGAGCACAGCATCCGAGGAAGGAGGACGGGCAAGGATACAGGGAGGAGAACAGCATGGAGCAGACGAGGCCACGTGAGGTGTCAGTGATCTCAGCATGAGATCATCTTACTTCTTTCTCCTGTCCTTTTACTCAAGACCACTGCTACACTAGTGGGGACAGATTCAAGGGGAAAAACTCCATTTTGCACATTTAAAAATGTCATCTAACTGGTTGCATCTTATGGCAAGAAGAATTTATGTTCAACACATCTCTATGACGTTCCTTCAAGGTGGCCCTTCCTCTCTGCAGCTCTCAACGCTGCATGAATAGCACATGCACATACTAAAAGATCTGAGGTTAGGTTTCTTTAAAAAAAACACCTTTGAGGAACAAAGTTGGATGATCTCCAAGAGAAATGATTTGTGACCTGGAAAGAGCCTTTGGTTTCACACCTGGAAAGGATGTAGATTTAAGTGGGATCCACAGTTGACGCTAAGAGGAAAACCACTAACATACCCTGTGGGGCCCTCAGGCCAACATGGGGGCACCTCGGGGCCTTTGAGGTTAGCTTTCCTGGGGGTCGCTGAGGCCAGCAAGCTGAGATCAAGTTGCACTATCAATACAGCTCTGCCCCTGCCCCTCTTCTGGGAGGCAGCATTACCACACATCCATCACATTCTGAAAGCCCGAGCATGCATATGATGGGAAAATCATTTAATACTGCTTTTCATTTGGTTTCACGTGGAATGAAAGAAAAAAGTTGACTTGAAAAAAGTCAACAAGAGACATACTTTTGAGGGCCATGATATGCAAACAGATGCTATTATTCTACAAAAGGTTCTGAATAAGAGGCACATTTATTCTTTCGAAACATGGAGACAGGCCTCATGATATGGCTTACCTTGCAGGTTGACTCTGGAGACAGGAGGCTGACTAGCAGCTGGGGACCTCCTGCAGAGACAGAGAGAAAAGAAGGCCTGAGCCTTTGCCAGAATACTCCCTCCCTGTGCCCCCATGATCACTGGGGGTTTTTCCAGGTCATAAGGAGCTATCAAGTGACATAATGCTGTCTCCGGAAGACAGGCTTCTGGAACACACGGGTAGATGACTGCAATTCTCTCACGTGCAGATGGCCTGGAATTCCCCTCTGCACAGCCTCCTGGATGTTCCAACACTCCAGGAAGGAAGTCCTTTACTCCAGGTCCCTAACCAGCCCTTCTGTTTTAGGTTTCCATGTTCCAGGAGGCCCTCAGAGGAGGGTAAGCTTGCTCAGGAAGGCCCCCAATGGAAAAGTAAAGCCCAGCTCCTTTGCACAGTGCTGTAGAAAGTTACAGCCAGAGGGGCCCTGAGAGATCCATCAGTCCAGGCCTCCCATTTGTGCACCTCTGGAAACTGAGACACCGAGAGGTGAAGTCACTTGCCAAAGGTCACACAGCCACTAGGACCAATAATCCAGGTTGCTTAACTTATGGAGTCTTTTTTTCGTGGAGGAACTGGGTATTATCCTACATCATAACAAGCCTGTTGACATCAAGAGTCAAATGAAACAAGCAAACACATTCATGTTCCACAAATACTGGGGCTTCTCCTTTTCTTTCTTGTTGTTCTTTATCTTTCTCCCCCCCTGATTTTGCTGCTGTCACCATCCTTCTCACACCTTGCAGAACTTCTGCCAGAAACTGATTCAGTTGTCCTGGGGGGACCTGCGAGTCTGCATTTCTAACTAGTACCCAGGTGGTGCTGATGGATGCTGCTGGTCTGGGGACCACATTTTCAGGACCACTGGTATGGAGGGCTCTCTGCCGCACTAAAGAGCAACACGATATTAGCAGCGAGCAAGAGAGTGGGACTCTAGGCTAGGGGGTCTCAAATACAGACAACATCCGACTCACTTGGGGAGCTATTAAAAATGATTCCCTTCCCCATTCCTCAAGAGTCTATTTCAGTATATCTGGGACAAGGCCTGGGAATCTGCAATTTTTTACTTTGTGAATTCTGACACACAGGCAAGTTTGGGAAGGAAGCCAAATTCTAAATGATAGAGGATAGCCTGCAAAGGTGTCGGGAAGGAAGGGTCTCCCTACTTGTGTGGCCACATGGTTATTTTCCTAGGTGTTGAAGTGCTCCAAATCCATTTTTGGTCCCTTAGGGGTAATCTAGCTTCCAGGTAACATACCTCATAGCTGCAGGTCTGATGGGCAGGGTTCACATTTACCACTCATTTACTAGCTAGGTGATCCCGGGCAAGATACGTTGAAACCCTCTGTGGCATGAAATTTTTATGTGGGATCTGGGAAGGGAAATTGCCTTCAGTGACTGCTTTTCTCTGCTAGACACTGTGCTGGCTACTTCTCAGCTTCCGTTGGGAATATTATCATCTCCTTTTAAGAATGGGGAAAGTGAAGCTCAGAGAGGTTAAGAATCATGTTGAAGCACAGATGGTTTATAACCAGCGTGAGTGGGATTCAAAGCTAAGTCTTTCTGAATCCAAAGTACATGCTCTTTCCACTACCCCATCTGCTGATAATACCTGCACTAAGACTCAGGGCTGGTTTTCGGGAAAATTAAGAGATTAAATTCCAAACTCCTTAGCCTGGATTCAAAGTCCTTTGCTCTTTGGCCTCAACATACTTTCCCCAGCTTATCTCTCAGAATTCCTCGCCGCCTCACATTTCATCTCAAACCACTGACTGGCTGTTTGCTCTTATCCATCCTGTACTTCATGTTAGTAGCATTTTAAAATTGTAATTAAAATAGGCACTAATTAGTGTTCAATATAGAACTCCTTGGTTTAAATGCAAACTTTTTGCAAGCAGGGAACAATTTGCTCACTACTGGATTCCTGGAACCCAGGATGGTCTTTCATATGCCAAGCACTCAGTAAATACTTAGTGAATGGAAGAATGAATGAATGAATGAATGAGGGAAAAACTAACTCATACTTTGCCCGAGCCAAACTCGATCACTTCTTTTTCCCTGAACATGTGTTTCCCTTTCCTGACATTGCTCAGGCCATTCCTCTGAGAGGGAAGCTCTCCCCACACAAGTCTACACATCTAAGTATCACTTACCCTTCTGTGATTTATAAAAAGAAATACATATTTGGTCTTGTCCCATTCCCGGCACAAAGCTCCTAAAACACTTCAATTTCCTAAGTAATGAGAATGATAAAACTGTCTTTTGTTATCTTAATGAGATAACGTTTGCAAAGCCCCTACACCATCTAAGGGTGGGGGCTGGTTGCCAGGGGACCCAATCTTGTGATTAGAGGGTTGGAACTCTCAGCCCCACCCAGGACCTCTGGGGAGGGGAGAGGGACTGGAAATTCATTTAAATCACCAACGGCCAATGATTTAATCAATCACGTCTTTGTAGTGAAGCCTTTATAAAAAATCCAAAAGGACTGGGTGGGTAAACGTGAGGATTTGGGGATAATGGCATGCTCAGAGACCCTAGAAGCTCTGCGCCCCTTCCTGCATACCTCACCATATGCATCTCTTCTTGGCTGTTCCTGAGTTATACCTTTTATAGTAAACCGATCATCTAGGAAGTAAAATGTTTCTTTGAGTTCTCTGAGCACCTCTAGCAAATTAATTGAACCCAAGGAGGGATTCGTTGGAACCTCTCATCCGTAGCTGGCCCGTCAGAAACATAGGTGACAACCTGGACTTGCGATTGGCGTCTGAGGGGGTGGGGGCAGTCTTGTAGGACTGAGCCCTTAACCTGTGGCATCTGACACTATCTCCAGGTATATAGTGCCAGAATAGAGTTGAATTGTAGGACACCCAGGTAGTTTCATAGAATTGCTTGGATGTATGGGGAAAAAACCCCCGCATACTAGAATTGGTGTCAGAATCATACTTTCAAAGGTCAAATGTCATCTTCTCCAAAGGATGTCATCCTCTTAGCTAAAAATGATGCCTGCTCTAATCTCCCATGGTGCTCTATTTGTACCTTTAGGGTTATTTCCTCATATTACAACTCACACGGGCACATATCATCCCCACCACTAATCTGTGGATCCTTGGTGGCAGACCCACTTCTGACCCCTTTTCACACATCCTCTGCAGGACCCGCCACCTTGCCCTGAGAATAGTAGGAACTCATAAATATTGGTGAACTGGTGATTGAATGAACCATTGATGTGAAAACTACTTGAGGAGTCAAATGCCATGGGAATGTTTTACCCGGTTTCCTCTTCCTATGGAGTCTTGGTCCTACACACTACCGGCTGTTCCTGAGCATGGCACGCACTCCTATTGCTCGGCCCTTGCATATCTTTTGCTCAGCTGAATAAGTGGCAAACTCCTTCACGTGTTCTAGGACCCCACTCAGGCAGCACCTCCTCAGAGGAGCCTTCGTTCATGGGTAGTCCTTGTCTGTGCTTCTGGTGGTTTCCATGCTTGCCCCATCAGAGCACTGCTCACCTGTACTGTAATTCCCATCATCCCATCTGACTCATCAACTTGACTTTGGGAAATTTAAGCAAAGATTAAATCTCATTCATCTTTGTAACCTTGGAATTGGCAAAATATTTGGTATGATATAGGTATTCATTATGTATTCATTGGATTAATAATATATTTTTAATAATTTTATTTTACCTATCTTCCTGAGTTCCAAAGAAGGCTTTTGTGAAAGGAGACATTGAACTAAGGGACCCTAAATGTTGGAAATCTCTGCTTTCTTAATATTGCATGGCTACTCATAGCACTCAATTCTCCCAATGACTTCTGGAAAATTACACAAATTACATAAATTCCTTTATCCCAGGAGTTAATTTTGAAAATATAGCTTTTATTTAGAGTTGTTAATTCACATAAGCATCTGTGTGTGTGAGCTTTGGAAAGGCAAGAACCATATTTTTTGGTTTATCACTTATTTCAAGACTTGGTACAAAGAAGAGGCTCAATACGTTTTAAATGAATGAATGACTTCTGGAAGGTGCATTATTGCTTATAGGGCATGAGAGTGCCAATTAAAAAGCTGTGATGAATGCCAGAAAAAAATGGCATTGCTTGCCCAGTTTCCAATGGTCCCTAACTTATGGAAGAATCATAAGAAGTTATATGCCTGGGTTGCTGGAGACGGTGATATTAATAGGGAGGCTAATACAGCCACAGCAGGTAATACTTTCCAGCCCTGAATAGCACAGTGGAGAAAGAACTAGACTATGAATAAGAAGCCAGGAATCCTAATCCTGGCTTCGGCCCCTTCCAACTGCATAGCCCTGGGCAACTCACTGAACCTTTCTGTTTCCTCCTCACTTGGGGAGAGCAGGAGGCAGTGAACATTACTGCTAATTTACAATGTGCCAGCTCCTGTGTGAGGTGTTTTACGTATATTTCCTCACTTACTCTGAGGAAATTTGGCTAGGTTCTTTCCAGCTCCGAATGCTCGAGATTTTATTATTCTCAGCTAATTTAAATACCATGCCAAAGGACGTAAAGCAATGAAAGACACTTCAGATACACGCTGAAAAAAATTGATGCGGTTATTAATTCTTTTTAAAGATGACATGCGTGTTGATTAAATTCTGCCTTGGAAGAATGTTAGTACAGAGATGTTACATGATGTCCTGATGGCCGCCGGTGATGTCTGTGGTGTTAGTGACACTGCTGAACAGTGGGGGTACCTCCTTGCTCCCTGCTCTAGTCCCTGGTAATCACACTCTCACCCACACTTGTGATTTCTCCATCAGTCTGTTTGAAGCCAGTAAACGCTTTAGGGATGCTTATCTGAATTAACAACTCTAAATGAAAGCCATATTTTCAAAATTAACTCCTGGGACAAAGGAAACATAGGTTTCAATTTGAAGCCAAGAAACACAGGCCCAATCAAGCAGCCCTCAATGGAACATTCCATGGAAGTGCAGGGAAATCACCTCAGCAGGAACTTTGAGATTTTCACCCTTTGGGTGGTAAAGCCCAGGCAGACAATGGGCTGCTTTTATGCAGAGCAAAGAGCCAAAAGATAAAGGAAATCTTGACTTATGGGAAGCATAGTTCTATGTGGGAGTTCCTTTTCATATAATAAACCACACTCTCCAGATGCCTCGTGAAAACCACTCCAAGGACATAATTATTGCTTAAATGTTACATTCAAGGCAAGGAGTGGCACTGTGGAGCTCAAGTCAAATATCCCAGAAAGCAACATCTGAGTCCCGTGAATCTTACAGTGTCGGTTGTTAAAATGAGTGACTACGTAGGGGGGAAAGCGCTTTCAGTATGGTGGATCCATCCCTGGAAGATATTCTTATGTTCAGTTTTCTTTATTTGTTCGAGGGTATTACTGTCTAGGAATAGAATGGAGTGCCGTAAATGGACCCTCAGTTTTCCAGTCTGCTCCCACCGGGCTGCTCCATTCGTGGCTGAAACTCATCACTCAGTTCTCAGCCTGAGCTAGACTGAGGCAATCTCAGCCTCCTTTGGTGAAGCTCTGGTGGTGGAGGTGCCCTGCCTTGAACTTCTGTTGGTTGGTGTTGGTTTCAAGTACTTGAAATCAATAAGAGGATCAACTCTGTACAAATATGGGTATGGATTTAAGAAAGATCATTAGATGCAACTTTCTTACTGCTGGAGATCTATTCTGTGTGGTGTGTAGTTTGGTTTGGACTAAAGATAATGCACAGGGTCATGATTTGGGGGGTGGTCCTCAGCTAGAGTTTGAGAATGGGCTCTGGATCAGCTCTGAATATGGCAGTTATGGTCTGAGGGTACTCATGGAAAGCATCTGGTGAAGGTGATACTCAAGATGAGTCACGAAAGACAAGCAGGATTTAGCCAGGCAGACACTGGCAGGTGGAGGGACACTTTAGGAAGAGAGAAGAGGAAGTCCACAATTAGGGTGGAGAATAGGACATACAGGGAACAACTAGACCATGATTAGACTGTGATCCCATGTGGCCAGAGACTTGTCTGCTGTTCACCACAGTATGCCCAGCACCTCCTATTAGAATGTAAGCCCTGAAAGGGCAGAGAACTTGTCTGATTTGGTCACTATTAAATCACCAGAGCCTGGTACAAAGTGGATACTCAATAAATATCTGTTAAAAGCATACATATATTCATAGATGGACAGCATGTACTAAATAAATACTTGTTGGGTGTTGGGTGAATTACTTAATAAATGAATAAACAGGCAGTACCACTATAAAAGAGGCTTGGAGAGCAAGCATATTGTATGTATATTATATATAATGTATATTGCATCAAATAAAAACCCAATCAACTATTAATCAAACTAACTTGAGCTGGATCATGAGATGCCGAGGTGCCTTGGGCGCCAAGCACCCGCCTTTAAACTTGACCTTAATGATAAGAGTGAATCATTGAAATGCCTCAAGCTGGAGGCTAACATGGTCAAACAGCATGCGAGAAAGATGACGCTGGTGGCAGTTTGGGGAATAGTGTAGAGGAGGAGAGACCATTGATGGGAAGATTCCATTGGGGCATGCAGAGTTCTCCCCCAGGAGGCTCAGTGACAAGTTACAGTACAGTGAAAGGAAAAGCAAGCTCTCCATGCAGGTTTACTCCCACTTTTAACAACTCTACTCTGAAAATCTGGATTAAAGCAAATAGAGGGTTGATGAATAATTTCACAAAGACGAGAGAGAGGGTGTTCTAGAGTGAACACTGGCTGGAAAAATTAGAAGATTCAGGATTTGGCTCTGGTGTGTCTCTAACCTATGGTGTGGTTATTAGCAAGTCACTGGATTTCTGAAGGCCTGGGTTTCCCCTTCTGTAAAACAAAGAGGTTGATCAATGGTCTCCAGTCCTTTCGTTCCAGGATCATTGATTCTGTGACCTTCTGAGCCCTGTGATGACCTTTTAAAACATGCCAGATAGTGAACTGCATGGCCCTTAGATTAGATTCATAGATTGAAATGATTTCAGAGGAGAAAGTTACTGTAAATTCAGTCTTCATTTTACAGATGAGGAGACCAAGGCATGCAGTTAGTTGGGGGCAGAGGAGAAGATAATCTCACTCGTATTCATCAAACTGCATGAAACTGTTGATATATTATCAAAAAATAGAAAACTTGGACTTGAACTTTTCATAGTTTTAATTTTAAGTTTGAATCTGAATTCATTAATAGCTTATTCCAAAAGAATTATAATAGAATTTATTAATAGGTCATTACTGATAAATATTCATACTTTCCGAAGTAGTAAATATAAAAGTCAACAAAAAATCCTCATCTCATTCTTTCATCTGTTGAACTCCTCCTGTGTACTGTTAAGGGTACAAAGATTAATAAGACCCAGACTAATTTCTAACATCTTACCAGCTCTAAAATACTAGGGTGCTCCATCCTATTTTCAAATTTCATCGTGTATCCTAACTTAGCTTGGAGAGCAAATTTCCATGCAGTAGTTTTCTTTCTTTCTTTCTTTTTTAACACCATTCAATGTTTTTGCCTTTACAGAAAGGACTCGCCCCTCCACAAGGAGTCCATGCTTACTTGTTGGATGTTCCATGAAGGTTTGTCAGGATAGTGAAGTTGTTTCTCACACTTCGCAAGCTGGCGAGGACCTAGAAGGAAATGTTTCAGATGGTTAGGAACAAAGGAGATAAAAGGGCAGGTTCAGAGGCCACTCTTAGAAACTCCACCCAGGGACAGAGGGACAGTGAGTCAGGGCCGGCATGACACCTACCTGGGCAAAAGGCGTTACGATCAAGTCATCGCCATGTCTGGTGGAAAGAGAGAAGAGAGACGTTTAAAAATGTTGTGAGATAGAAGCTGCAGCATTAAACTTGATCAGTGTTAGCAACACAAATGTTATACAAGTCCTTCCACCTGGACATAAGGCAGGGCTGACAATTGGGTGTAAACGGGGATCTCAGGAACTTGAAAGAAAAAAAACCGACCAGGTTCATGGCTCCTGGATTTACAGTAACTACACATAACAGCACTGGCAAGTAAGCATATATCCTTAGGGTACATTCCCATTAAAGAGCAGACCCAGAGCACTGTAATTCAAAGCGACTTGTGGATTCGGGTGGCCAGAACCAGGAAATTCAAAGGGAGGGCTGCTCACAGGCACACACAGAGTTGGAAAAAATGGCATAACAGTCTGGATAAAGGTTAACTTTGGATTTCCTGGCTTTTGTTGATTTGAACCACAGCCTTAATGCCATTTAAACACAAATTTCTGTCTGGGAATCCCATTACTTTTTGTTTTTAATGTAATTTTTTTCTTAAAGTACCAAGGAAAAGCTTTTAATGGGAGTGTACAGACTGAACCTACTATTACCATAGCAGTGTCGCTCATTTTGTCCCAAAGGTCTGATTAAGCTGTACCTAGTGTTATATGAATCTGTACTTAGGAATAGTCAAAAGTGTGTTTCCAGAAATGCACTCTCTCTCCAGCACAAGTTTTGGTAAATCTACTTAAGCCCACATTCAGCAAGCTCTCCATTCAAGTCATCAGAAGACATCTTGGCCTGAGCTGCAGACACATAATCAGGCCAATTTGCTATCAGGGTGTGAATCATAACAGCAGCACAGAAGTGACTGACAATGAGCTTCCCTCACTGTCTGATCTATCTCTCTGTCCTCATGATTGCCACACAAATACGGCGCCTTAGTGGTTAACTACAGGAGTGCACCCAATCATTATGAAGCCCTTGCCCAGTACAGGCGTTACTTGAGGCCTGGGATCCAGAGTTGACAACACATATGTCCATGTGGGCCTCTTCTCTAAGCACAGGCTTTTACTCCAGGGTCTTTATTTAACACCATATTTTCCTTTCTACCTTTGTCTTTACCTAGAAGTGCGTTTTCAACGCAATCTGGCAAACTTCCCGTGCATCCACTTCGTACAGTGACTGTAAAAGGAATACTGACAAGGGCAGGATTCTTTGTGTGATTGCCGTGTGTCAGGCCCCACACTAAGCACTTCATGTACATTATCTCATTTAATTCTTGTAAAAGGCTTGAGGCAGGAACCCTTACTGTCATTTTACAGATGACATCAAGACTCAGGGCAATTAAGCAACTGCTTAACTAGCACACAGCTAGTAACTGGAAAAACTGAGACCGTCTGATTCCAACAATTTGTGCTTTTAACCACTATGTTTCCTATCTGATGATGACCCTGTGTAGTTGGTCAGATCAAATTATACAGAATCCATGATCCCCTTCAAATTAAAACATAGTAAGGGAGACAGAAAAATATTCAAAACACTGCAATAGATACTTTAAACATAGAATGACATACACAAACAATGGATACTTCATGGGGTTCAAAGCAGAGGTGATAATTACAGATTAGAGGAAGTAGGAAAGGCCTGATCGAATGGGTGTGTCTGAGATGAAATTTGAAGGGCCGGCTTTAAAAGGCATGGATGGTACATGCAACCAACGAGAGAAATGGCAAGAACAAAGGCATCGAAATGAGAAAGTACTGAATATGCTCACCGAGCTGCTTGGTGGCTGTGAGGGTGTTGCTGAGCACATTAACGACAGACTTTTGTCGACGATAAGACGAGAAGGTCCCCACACCCATACTACGGATAGTATGGACAATGGTTGTGAAGTTGGTGCTTAACTCAGTAGGAAGAAATGAGCCAGTGAAGGTTTTTAGTGAGGTAGGCAAACAGAAAGTGCTTAAGAAAGTAAAATGCTATGGACACCAAGGGATGGACTAGAGAGGGGACAGAGCAGGGAAGCAGAGTTAGGGGGGTATTGCAGTGATTCAGTGGAGAAGAAATAGACAAGGTAGAGGAAGAAGCAGGAAGAGACAATTTGAAGACATCCTAGACATCTTGCCAAGGACTCGGCATCTAATTGGATAAGGGGTCATAAAGCAATATTATTTTCCGTTTTAAAAATGGGTATCTGGGAAAATAGTGAAGTCATGAGGAGAAATAAGAAAGTGAGGAGGAACTGGGGGAGGAGATGAGTCACTTCGCACACGTTGAGTTTTAAGATACTTGTTGATATCCCGGTGGAGACATCAAGTGGGAAGACTGAAATATGGGAATTAGAGCTACAGATTTAGGAGTTACCTACAATATCGGGGATAGCTAAAGCAATGGCAGGGGGTGGGGGTGTATAGTGAGGGAGCCAGAGGAAGAACCTCAGGGGTCTTGCAGAGGAGCCAAAGGAGAGACAGAATACAGAGCTAAGAGAGGAGCAGTTGTGATAAATGCAGGTGGTGAAGTCTACCAAGAACTGCCTCTTCTCAGTGTGCTTTCTTGAATGATTGAAGGGAGGTAAACAAACATTAATGGGGCGTGATGTCAACATGACTTTATCATTATGGAACTTTCGAGGTTTAGGAGAGCAGAACATTCAGAAGCAAGAGATAGACTTGCAGATACCCAGCACCAGCTCTCTTAAAGAATTTGAGCTGCAAAAGCTAATGCTGTACGTCAGATAACAGCTGCTAGAGAAATGATCAGATAATTTATAGCAAGTACAGAAAAGAAACAAAACAAAAAACTCCTATTTGAGTATAGTCAGATTATTTATGGAACTCTTCTGAATTTTTTAAATCACAATTTTATGTATTAACAATTAAGAATAAATGGCGTGGAAATAACAAAACGTTGATGTTTCCCAAGCCACTAGAGAGCGCAATGCCTCCCGGAACTAGGCTGGATATTCAGAACCGTTGCACCAGCGACATCTAGTGACAAAACTTGCACATTACAATTTTATAGAATAGGATGAAGCTCTGTGGGTCTTGGAATTGTGGGTCTACTCTAAACAATGAAATGGTTTTCTAGAAGCAAAAATGCTACTTCCTACTGCTACACTCTTGATTTTATTAATTTACCCTTTCTCTGTGTAATACCTACACATAGAATTTTACCTGTACTTTTCTTGAACACTAATTTTATTCTGTCCTATAGAGAGAGACAGACTATTGTAGCTAAGACCAGATTTTGGAGCCAGACAGAGGTGGTTTGTTTCTCAGGGGCACTATTACTAACTATGAGACATTAGACAACTTCTCTATGCCTCTATTTCTTCATCCGTAAAATGGGATGTTGTAAGAACTCAATGAGTTATTATATATGTACAACTCTTAACAGTGCTTGCCACATAAAAGCACTTTAGCTGTGTAGTTACAGCTATTCTTATTAGTAGTAGGTATCATTCTTATTATAAGTAAAGAATTGCTTGTCTATCTTGCCAGCTGGGGAGAACTTCTTTAGGACAATCATGTCTTCCTCCATTGCAATCAAGAGAACTAATATTTATATTGTACTTTACAGTTTACAAAGCACTTTCACATACGTTATTCCATGTGATAAGGGAATGTTCTTGACCCTAGAGAATGGTGCGACCACCTATTGTGTTGGTTAAGCCTGAAATCTCTCTCTCTCTCACCCCACAGTCAACTGCCAACCCCTGTTGATTCTAACTTGCAAATATGGATTAATTGCACCCTGGATCTGTTCTAATGCATGTCCCCAACCTCTGCTATGTGGAGTGCCAAAGCAGCCTCCCATTTGGCTGTTGGGCACTGGTCTTTAGGCTTGTCCACCATCCACACCATTCTTCATACTGTAATCAGAGCTATCTTTCAAAAACATTCGTCTGATCATGTATTTTCCTGTTTAAAATCCTTTAGTGGCTCCCACTGCTTGCCTGCAGCATAAAGGCCAGCACCTCAGCACAGGCCCTTCGTGATGAGGTTCCTGCTCACTTCTGCAGCCTCCTCTCCCACCACTTCCTCATCCCCTCCTTCTCTGCCTCAGCCACACTGAGCTGTGGTTCCCCACGGTGCTCCTGACAACTAAGGGTTAGTTAGCACATGGCCCTTGCTGCTGCACACCCTTCTGCCCCACTAACTCTCTAGCTTACCTGTAACCCCCTCAAAGTGGGCTGCTCGCCCTGCCTGGCCAGACCTCTCCAAGTCCTGTGCACACCTTTCTATGACTGCCCTGATCCAAAGTATTAAAACTGCCTACGGACTTACTAATTTTTTGGCTCCCTTGAAGACAAAGAAAGTGTCTTATTTGTTAGCAAAGTGCTTAAGTTTAAGTAAATTTTTGTTAAAAGGAAGAATGAATATGATCCTCATAACAGCTAGAAAGGTCGGCAGAGTTGTGATTATAGTCATTACTTTTATTTTTCACCCCCATTAGAGTCTGCTTATGTACTGGATGTCCATGGGGTTTAACCATCTAGATTCCCTGGATTTAAGGCTTGGTTCCCCATCTACTGGGCAAGTTAGTTAACCTCTCTGTACTCCAATGTCCTCATCTTTAAGAAAAGCAAATCATAGTACCAACCACACTGGGGTTATGGGGACTAAATGAGTTAAAATATGTAAAGTACTTTAAATCGCACATAGCACATAGGAAATGCTCACTAAATGTGTGCTTTAATTTACAGATAATTTAGACACAATAAAAGGGATTCAATGTCTTAAAGCCATGGTCACAGTAAGCGTGATGGCTGTAAGGCTAATCGAGTCTTAGATACCACATTGTGTTTTTTTGGTAGTCCATCAATAAACAGGTCTTAAATTTAAGTGGGCTTTATTTCTGTTTTTCTTCTTGGTTCTTAGGTCTCATTTCCCTTGACTGCTCTCTCTAGGGATCACTTAGTCCTCACACAAATGGGGGCCTTAAAAAGCTCCTTGTCCATATAAGGCTTTGCAAATGGGATGACCAAATGAAGGAAACATGGATTTTCCTTCCCTGTGGCTTTGCAGGTGGACAATCAAAACCTGGTCTTGTCCAGAGTGGTTCTTGCCACGGTTTTCAGCAATACAACTGTCTCCCCAGTTTCCAGTACTTTATGTTCCCATTGGGAAATTTGTACCTCACATACGAAGGCATTACGTTAGAGATGACTACAACACAGGCACCAAACAGAAACCAACAGGTTATTGCCACATCTAGGAAAGCATCCGAAGTTTCCTTTTGGGACCCAATGGTGATCTTGTTTTCTTTACTAGAAAGCCTTATTTCAATCCTTTTCGTTGCTAAAAGTAAAGCCGTTTTTAATTTTCCACTCACATTTCTACTCAATATCTTTTCACTCACTCTTCCTGTCTATATTTCCTCTTACTCTTCTGAAAGAGTTCAGATGAGAAATTTTAAATGTTAGTGTTGTCTCTAGCACGAGGATTCAATGCAGAGGAATTATGCAAAGTTTTCCACCTCTTATATACATTCACGATGCTCTGTGCTAGATGTGAGGGGCTCCTGAGCAGGGACATCATGCAGCCCCACCCAAGGGCCTTCACATCGAGACTCCAGGCCTGTTATCAACCCTCTCTTTCTTGGCTCTATGGGGAGAAAGCAGGAGATGCAGCGAGAGGCTCAGGGACTGCTGTTCCTCTGTTTATTTCAATTCTCCCTAAAGAGCAACAGTTGGGTAAAATAGCCTTGGGAGCATAATTTCAGTTTAGATTAAGATGCCTTATGAAACTGGATTTCCCAACATGGTCCTGATAAAATGAAATACCAGAAGAATCTGGATATTATTCAAGCTCCATTTCTTATAGTGTTGAGAAATATAAATTCCTAAACTGACAAATATAAAAAAGTCCTACTGTAATGTTGAAATATTTGCAAGACAAAGTTTTGTGCTATTTTTATTCACTCAAAGATTTTAATATATCTTGTTATCAGTTTCTTTGGTAGGGTGAGATGATGGTGCTGACTGTGTTTTCTTGGAAAGACTGTTTTTTTGTTTGGTTTTGTTTTTTATGAAAGTGTGCCCTTCCTATTTTTAATTTAAAAAATTATTATTATTTTTTTAAAAAAAGTGAGAATGATAGTAGATAACTTACATATACGCTCTTTACTTGCTTAAATTTAAATTTGGCAACACTATGTAGGTTCTAAAGTTAGGGGGAAAATTTTACTGGTTTTTAAAGCTGAAAAGAGGGTAAATCCTGAGTATTGGGAACCTTGGCTACAGAGTCATTCAGAACTAGATCTGAGTTTCAACACTATAGACTGAGTTGGACTGTGATCTTTAAGGTCTCTTCAAGTTCAAAATGTCTATAACTTTTTGATTCCAAGTAAGGAATCACCAGAGTTTAATCTGAAATTTGGTTAGAACCCTCTGAGAAGCCTCTGAATGACCCTGAGACTCATGCTGTTGGCATGAGTTTGGGGACCTGTTAGCTGCCTTCCAAAGCTAGTCTTTGTGAAACACTCTGTGAAGGAAACTCTAATTACTCTCAGCTCATCACATTTCCTGAGCTCTGCCCCTAGGAAGTCTAGAAAGGTGTTCTTCTTGGTGAAAGAGAGAATTCTAAGTCTATCATCCAAAAGCCCCCCATCCAAACCTTGGTCAGAAACTTCCTTGGTTCTACATGATCTACACCCTCCAGACGCAGGTGCCTCTGCTCTGTACTCATCTGTTTCCCACCTGGTAGTAGAGACACTACTTTGTACTTTGAAGAACACAGGCAAATAGAGTCCAAAAGTTTTGAACATGGTCAGTCTTAGCTACATTGTGGGATATAGCATGGCATAGAGTCATGGGAGAAGTGCAAGTTTCTCAATTTCTCAGAGTCAGGGATCTCATCATCTATAGAGTGGAGATAATAATGGTACCCACCTGATAGGCTTGTTGTGAAGATTAAAAGAGATAACGCATGTTAATGAACCTGGCCCCATGCAGTAGAGTTATGTGGGTGTTCCTCTTATCTTTCTTATTTAACTGTAACCTCCCTGAGAGCACGCAACCTTTTTGAGAATAATATCTGTTTTTAACTCGTCTATGATTTTCCTACTGTTTTGTTAATCTTTTATCCCCAGAGTCTGGCACACTGCATGGTACGTAGAGAGACTCAGTGAATATTTGCCAAATAAGTGAATAAATGAATTTTAGCCTACCCAATGATTGAGATATTTTATGGCAGGGGTGCCTGTATTAAAATTTGTTGGTAGAAATGCCCTGGTAAATCTTTTCTCACAGGTAGCTTTAAAATGCCCCTGCCCCTTTCACAAGAGGGTGACCTTTTTTAGTTTTCTTTCCAACAGCAGAAGAGAGCCCAGTGGAATTTTCCAGGCTGGAGACTCTAGGGAGCTACTGATATTTTTATAACATATGATGTTAAAAACAATTGTACGAGTGCCCAGAAACCTTTTAAGGCATGAATTCCAGCATGCAATTTTATTTGGTTTCAGAAATTTAATAAACAACACAGCCCAGTCATTGTTCTTTAAATAAAAATTAGAGATCTACAATTAATAGCAGCAAAACAGAAACATCAGCTGTGCTTAATAGGGCAGTGAGTGTCTCACCAAGGAGCCAGGCAACAAGTGGGCATTGTGTTAAGGTTCCAGAGAAGGGACACAGACATGTGGCTGGATGACAGCTTATTAAATGTCACCAAGCAAAGGCCACCGAGAGAGGATGCATGTCACCAACCACCGTTTTTCTTCTTTATTGTAGCCTCATGCAAACTGCACAGGCTGCGGAAAATTCAAGTGTGATTTGCAAAAAATATTAAGGTTCTCATCCCATAAACGATTCAGCAGTTCAGGAAATGAAGTGGAATGAAATTTTTTTTAAAAAAGTGTCAGTAACATATGTAAACTGAACACTCTGCCTGAGGTTTTCGATACCCCCGGAGACCCCAGCTCACGTTATATTCCCCATGTTACAGAGCATTAATGTCCTTAAGGTGGTCATCATTGTCACCTGCGTTCGTGTTCACTTTTCTCTTCCCTCCTTCTCACAGGTTAAACGGGAACAGGTGTCGCCGCTGCTGTGCCAGAGCTAGAGACGAGGTAAGTGTGAGACTGGGAGCCAGATAGAGCTGTACTTACTGCTCGCTCGGAAGCGACGAGTTTCTCGACATCGCCTTTGGTGACAAGTCATAGTCGCTGTCTGATCTGTAGAGAAAGGACTCTCTGCGCTGGCTGTGCCCGGGAAAGGTGGCGTGAAGCACCAGCCCAGAGGAAGAGCTGGCCTGGGGGTCCAGCGGGCTCCGACCTGGGGAAGGGCCATTTTCCACATCAAAGCTTAAAGAGAAAGCAGAAAACTCTGTTCACATGAGAACCACGGTGGAGGGCATTTGACAGACATACATGGAGAACAAATGTGTGCCAGGCACTTTATGTAAAACTTCACACTTTATGGAAAGTTTTAATCCTCCAAATAGCTCTGAGCTGCAGTCGCTATTATTCTCGTTTTGTATAAAGGAAACAGTCCCACAGAAGTTCAGTCATTAGCAAATAGTGGAGCCAGGATTTGAACCCCGGAGCGAAACCCCATGGCTTTTCAGCGGCATGAGCAATTTTGACAAATTCAGAATAAGAGCCAACCATAAAATAATTTGATGATAATTAGCAACTCCAGAGACAGCATCTAACACGGCTCTAGGTGTCAGACGCTGAACTATCACTTGAATGAGTCTTCCTAGCTGGGAGACTTCTTCCTGCCATAAATAAACATCACAGTCTCGTTAAAGTTATAATATGCATATTTCTGGATGTTCCAGGAACAAAGTGCTATCCTGCAAACATTCACTGGCTGATTAGATGGGAGGCCCAGTCTGAGACTTAATATTCATATGCAAGTTTAACCACAGAAAATGACTTAATTATCTGATAAGGCCAATTACTCCTTGGGCTGCAGGGCTTTATCTCCGCAGGAGGATGCAGTCACTGGCTCCAGCAGAAGACCGCCGTTAAGACTTCTGGTTGGTCTCCCTCAATCTGGGAAGGGACCCTCGAGCCCAGAACAAGCTCTGATCAACGACCACACAGGCCGGGGGAGCAGTAGAGATTTTGTCTCTCGTTTTCTCTCTCCCCATCCTGGTATTACCTGAGGCACTGTGTCCTTCCCACGCTCTCCATCAGCCCCTAACCATTTTCTCTGTGCACACAATCTCCCTTAGCCTCAAATCGACAGTAACCCTCTTGCCTAGGATTTCTCTAGACCACTCGCTGCTCCCCAGCTGAAGCTTGGCAGAGAGGAGACAGAGAAAGTGTGGGGCTGGGGATGCTCTCTTCCAAGTTACACCACAATAGTGGGCTTCCTTTATATTCATCCGGCTGCCGTAGTCTATTTCTACATTCATGGTTCTTTTCTTTCATTAGTTCTTACAACCTGCGCCCTTGGGGTGGATTTTGCTTATGTTTATTAGTTTAGAAATTGCTTACTGATCTGTTTCTCCATTTACCCCTCATAACAACCCCTCATAGTATGATCCCATACTACATTTGAGGGAAATAAGGCTTAGAGCGCTTTTAAATACCTTGCTCAAAGTCACAGGCTAGTAACTTGCAGAGTGAGAACTGAAGACCCGAGTCTTCCAACTCATTTTTCTACAATCTCAGACTTGAATCCGAGTCCAGGAGGGCTCGCTGGGTAACAGTGCAATTTCCCTTCAGTCTCTGGATTCAAACAAAATTTGTGTTTGGTGTGTAGCGAGTAGGTCAGATTATGAACAACCTTGGCTGTTAGCTCAAGTGAAGACAGGGGAGGCAGCCAATTACCCCGAAGCTGTAGGTGTCGTTGAAACAGGGAAAGAACAAATGGCAGAATGCAGGGTAGTAATGCTGCCCCGGAGACCCTTCTGAGAAGCTGCTTTGAGTCAACCACAAACTCCAGGTGCCTGATAAGCAGTGGCAAGTGAGACTCTCTGGCTAGAAGGACAAGGAAGAGCCATAACAATCCCATGTGCGTTTGGGCTTTCACGGCACCGCAGATGGGTTTTCACTGCAGGAGAACGGTCTGGGAGGCCAGCAGGCAGGCGGGCAGTCCTCACACACACCAGCCTGCCGACCAGCCCGCCCCGGGCTAGAGCTATCTCGTAAGCCAGATACGTTGCAGCGAGTGAAAATATAATGAAAGCCGACTTGCAAACTTTCCTTGGGTGAGATCCATCCTAGCCGTTGAGCAAAATAAAGAGCTCCTTTGTGGATAAGGGCTCCTTCATGCCACCCAGATCCTGTACAATCAGTGGGTCCTGGTGCTGGCTCTGAACTCTTCTTAAGGACAAAGAGGATACGTTCTCAAAAGGTGAAGATGGGACTACATAAAGCCTAAGAGTAGGCATGAGCTTTGAAATGCCATGTGTCTTCATGCTGTCATTCATTTGGTGGATATCTGTACAGCCTTTATGGATATTAAAACATTGAAAAACTTTTGTAACAGTTGGCAGCCAGCCACTGCCCCAGGCCCTCCAGAATCTGCTGGACTTCCCGCTGATCCAGGAACTAATGGGTTGGTGTCTAGAACAGCAGGGGGTCTCTAGCTTCAGCACTGTGGCCTGTGTCCATTTAATCGGTCAGCGCCCATGTGGTACCAGTCTTTAAATATTATGAATATCACTGCTGTGTGTATCTGTGCTGAAATCTTAGAAGAGGTGCCAAGAGGGTGTGCCTACCATACTCTCAGAACTTTTTCCGTTGAGGGTTTCCACCAGGCTCGCTCTGCCCTCTGTTCTGCTAGAGGCACTCCTCGTGGGCAGAACGTAAGTGCACAAGGCATCACCCTAAAGTGGCTGTCACAGGCGTTCTGTCCCCAGTGTTAGTGTCCAGGCTGTTTGGTCCTGCCAGGTCAGAAGGGACTAGACCCAGACACCCAAACTCTCCAGGCTGCTCTCCTTTGGGTTTTCTTCTTTCTTCTTTCTCCTGCCTAAACTCATAGAAAGGTCTGCTGGAATTCAGAAGAAGCCAAGGAAGAATTCTCTGGGGCAAAGAAGCAGTCTCAGTGAGACAAATGGCCTTTCATAATCCCTGGGGCACTGTTTCAAAGCAGCCAACACAGATGTACAACTTAGGAACAAACATGAATCACCAACCAGACACCAGCCTCAGTCACAGCAAAATTAGCGGGCAGACATCACAATACGTCCCACAGATCCAGGGCAGAAGGAGGGGTGTGGGCAAGGGAAGACTGAGGACAGACTGAACAAGCAAAATGAATATACCACGCAAACTGAAACACAATTAGGGAGAAACGGAACCTGAAATTTCAGAAACAAACCCATAAACGGGGTCCTTATTTATTTAGGGTAATTTTTGCCTCTGTCTTAATCAGGACACACGTTTCACCTTTAGGTTTCTTTATATTTGGAAAAAATCATTGTAAAAGTAATATAAGGAAGTTACAGAAAACATAGACAATAGAGAAAAAAATTCCACATTTATTAGCAGTTCAGTATTTGTCCTTCTGAATATCTTTCCCTGCAAGTTTGGATCCTGATTTGCTCACAAGTATTTTTCATGTACTGCACCATTTCCAGAATTATCGTTTTCCATGCCCATGGAACTTAGTGGTTCATCCAGTGTCTGTACCATACCTTCTTAAGCATTTTCCCTACTGTTGGCTATCATATTTATGATTTTAAATAATGTTGTAGCTGATATCTTGGAGGTTATAGCTGCTTCAATATTCAGATGAGGTCACTCGGGAATTTCAGGAAGACTAAGAGAGGACGTCACTCACGAGTTTCTGAGTATTGGACTGCACCTGCCCGGGAGGCCTTGCCTGTATCCAGCACACAGACTGAGACAGTATTGAAAGTGGCCTTTCTTTCTAGGCTCAGAGACAGCCCCCCTGCCAGGTCCTGCTCTCTGAGGTCCAGGATTCTGTACGCCGCCCTCCCACCTGATTCCACTGGCTTCTCCCTGCCTTGGCTGATTGCCCTGGGCTGAATCAAGTGCTTGTTGTCTGAGACCTAATATTTTCACAACTTTCTCCTGCTTTGAGTTCTCGGCTCCTCAAGGCAGTGGTGGTAGTGGAGGACATTGTGTGTGAGAAGAGGTGCTCCCTGAAACTGGAATGCCCTTCCCACCCCTGTCTCCAATAAATCACTATCTTCAAAATTCAGCTCACGTCACCTCCTCCAGGACGTTTTCTTGGATTGCAGCCCCAGTTCGATTTAGATACCTGCTCCTCCCCTGTGCTCTCCTAGACTCCTTTACTGTAGTACTTTGTCACAGTAATTGCACCTTTCTATTTAATTTTCCATTTATTTTGTTGCTCCCCAGTGGATTCTATCTCCAAGAGAGAAGGGACCCAGTATTACTCACTTTTGTATCCCAGGCGTCTGGATCAGAGCCTTGTAAATAGTTGGTCTTCAAAAAATGTCGGCTGAACCAATGAAAACACTGCAATTTACTGTGAAATGTTTTCCTATCCCTTCCCTCTCCCTGCCTCCTACCCTCATCTCAGTTCCCACTGGCACGGGTTTCTGCTGCTTCCTTCAAATAAGTCTATAGAGATGTGCCATTCACTTATGTGATAAGACCTGTGAAGCAATGATCTAAAAATAAAAATAAAATAAAATAAAAAGCACAGCCATGCTCTTCCTGAAAAAAACAAACTTGTCTAGAAAAATCCCTGGCTTCGATGTTTGAGATGCTGACATCTCTACACAAACTCCCAGGATGGGAAAAGCCCTCCGATGCCAGCTTCTGTGTGCCATCTTCTCATCTCTTTCTTTTTTTTTTTTTTTTTTTTTTTTTTTTTTTTTTTTTTTTTTTTTAATTTTTTTATTTATTTATTTATTTATTTTCCCCCCAAAGCCCCAGTAGATAGTTGTATGTCACAGTTGCACATCCTTCTAGTTGCTGTATGTGGGACGCGGCCTCAGCATGGCCCGAGAAGCAGTGCGTCGGTGCGCGCCCGGGATCCGAACCCGGGCCGCCAGCAGCGGAGCGCGCGCACTTAACCGCTAAGCCACGGGGCCGGCCCTCATCTCTTTCTTTTTAATCAAAGCCGGAACATTCTCTGCCCCACACTTTCTCTCCCGGCGGTTTCCATTCCCCAGGAACCACACACAGCGGGCCCGAACTGGTGCCAAGAGGGAGCCAGCAGAGGGCAGAAGACAGCCACAGCTTCCTCAGCTGCACCGCCCAGCTCTGATTGGAGCAGACGGGGCTGCTCGGCAGTCTTGGAGGGAGAAATATGACTGCAGCCTTATTCATAAGCCTGGGAGGAAAAATCAGGGATAAAGAACAGAACCACAAGGTGTACATGAAACCTTTCATTAAACTAAACGAAGCTCTACTTTCAAGAACTTAGGCTAAGCCAGGTGGTTGCAGAATTGCCTGCAATTGTTCCCAGGGTAGCTGTTTCCTGATCCCCAATCACCTGCGTACACCCCAATTTCTGTAACAAAGACTCAAATACAACATCCTGGGAATCAGAGGAGACTTTTCTTTTTCAGCTCGGTCCTTCTCTAGGTAGGTCTCTGGCTTATTCTAACAGCCCACTGGAAAGAACGCAAGCTCTTCAAAAGAGGTTTAAACTCACTCACAGGGCAGCAGAGCGCTCACCACTATTTGGAGAGAGTGCTCTGCTGTCTCAATTTTGCTTTTCTTTCTCATAAATTTACTCATTGAGTATCTTCTACGTCATTGACTTCTCACAACTCTGGCGGGCTAATTCTCTTCCCCCCATTTCAAAGAGGAGAAAACGGAGGCTCCAAAATGGGAAACTTCATTTGAAAAATCCTAAAGTGTGACCTCTTTTAATTATGCCCTGCAGTCTGTGCTGAGGGACCTCTCCTCCATGTCCCCACAGACCTTCTTGATCCCGGAACCTACCACGCTGGACTGTATTCCTTTGTTTACCTATCTCTTTCACTCCACTAGCCTGCAACCATGAAGCAGAGACCAAGCGTTACTCATTTTGTATTCCCAGGGCCTAGAACTGAGTCTCATGCCAGAACATATACAACAAATATTGGTTGAAGGAATGCGAGGATCTCACAGTTTATATCTCTCATCTGACAAAAAGCCACTTCTATTTGGATTAAAACCTCTGGCATGTGAAGACCTCCAAGGAGCTCCCACGTGGAGTCAATAGGTTCCTCTTTCCCCATCCTTACTCCCCCCGACCCCACTCCCCCGCAGTATCCGGAACTCCATCCCAGGAATTTTGGCTTTTGGGAACTTTTGTGTCTATAATAAGGTGTGTGTTTGTGTATAGAGTGTGTGTGTGGGGAGGGGCAGGTGGTGAATTCATGAAAACAATGCTGTGTTTTTTTAAAGTTCTGTTAGAAAATATTTCCCTCAATTGTACTCAGAAACTAATGTCTTCAAATGCTTGCTTATCATTTTGATAAAAATAAATAACTATTTACTTATATACTTATATTGGCCATCACCTCAATGTGCTTTCTGGTCTCTATAGATGGGGACGCTGCACAGGGGCGTGCATTTTACCCACAATGACAGTGGCCCACCTTTATATAATCAATGGCTACAGGCTGCAGTCAGTCCTAATTTCTAATGAAGGACTGAACAGTACAAAATCACAGCCAGCATGATGTAGAGCCCATTTCCTAGCTGAAGGCAAGCAGACCGCCCCGGCCACAGTTACAGCAGAATATCGCAGCTCTGCCCTAGGAATCCAGTTCCAAAGCCTATGACCTCCCTCCCATAGAGTAGGAAGGAGAACTATGATGTTCTGCTCATCCGAATTCTAGAAGCAACTTCCCACTGCTTTCTCTTCTTCCTAGGGGCTTTGACAATTGCATTCACGGCAATAATCCAAAACTGCTTTCCCCACAGAGAGGTTTAACCAGAGGCAGCAGAGTAATGCTGAAGAGCTCTGGGATCTGGAGATCTGGCTTCCAGTTCCTGCTCTGCAGGAAATAACTGAAACAAAACAGGGACACCCTCTATCCTGCTCCCCACACCTTTGTCTTTTCCCACTGAAATGAAGAAACGAATGAGAAGAAGATCTCTGAGGTGCCTCTGAGATTAGACATCTTACACAGACTTTGGAGATGGAAGAAAGATTGCTTCTCAAATGTGGTTTAATGTGGTGTTATACTGTTAATGATAATTCATTCACTCAACAAATATTTATTAAGTACACGCTATGAAACAATGCACTATTCTAGGCCTGAGAATACAGCCATGTACAGACCGAGTTCTTGTAGGGAGGGATGGACAATAAATAAACCAAATAAGGTAATTTCAAAGAGTGACAAATGCTATGGAGAAAGTAAAGCATAATAGGATGGTAGAGACAGGTACAGAGAAGGGTGTTGCTTTAGTTTGGAGGGTCAGCAGGTCCACTCCATGCAGCTGTGCAGATTTTCTATTGCTTTACAGGGGAGCACACCACCCATCTTTCTCACATAGTGTCATTTGAGTTGAGATCTGATAGAGGTAGAGTGAAGTTTGTTCTTGGGTTCTTTTCCATTCTCCATTTCTGTACCCTTTTAAACCAAAGAATTGTGTCAAATGATATTTGGGTTTGAAGGTGGGGTCATTTATTAAGCTGGTGATTTAATTTTTCTCATCTCTGTGCCCTTTCTGAGCTGAGCTAGTTGCTCTATTGTCTCATATAGCTATATCTGTATTGATATCTATTGATCTATGTGTCTCTACCACAGCACTTGTCCAGCATAATTGCTAGTGTTGTAGACTGCCCCTAAAGGGCTATGTTCCTCAAAGACACAGAACATCTTTTACATATTTTTTACTCCACTACTAAGGGCCATGCCTGTCACAGGTACTTAACAAATG